GCTCCCACACTGGTTTGCATACACTGACCTGAGTTTCCTCCTCCTCCTCCTGCTGTGTTCTCCCTGTGAGAGGATTCAGAAGAGAATGAGAGAAGAGTTCTTATCTCATAAAATTTTCATTCCCTTTTCTTTTTTCCTTTATTTATAAAAAACACTTGAAACAAAAAATTCCACCATACATCTTCAAAGACAACGAGGTGGGGGGGAAGACTAAGCAAGTCACTCCTGCATCATTCAAACAGTATTCTTACAAAGGGAACACTACAGCACACAATGCATACAAGACAGTTGAGGAAGCTCATGCTCCAAAACAGCATTGTGTTAATTTACTGTCCATTTCTGAGAACCACACTCACATAACGCCTCCTTGCACATAAGTTTCACCAATTACTTTCCTTTGGAGATGAGCAGGATATAGACTTTGAGAAATTATGTGTTAGTAGGTCTGTAACACTGTTTAGTTGCTATAAATTTCAAAGATAAAGTGTTGTTTTCTGAAAGCAAAACACTGACTTCCAGATTGACATCTCCCAAGAAGGGTTTTTTCCCCGCAATATCATCGGTCTCTTCATCTGTTCAAAGCCATATGTATTTAATATAGAAGTCTACTAAAAAAAGATGATTCCTATGGTCTGTGTCACAAATTTTTCTTCCAGTGGGAAATCAACTGTCAGAGCCCTGACATTTGCTATTGATGTGTAAAAGCAAAGCAGTTCACCTCTCTCTGTATAAAAGTACAACCTTATAACCAAAGCAGACAAGGGACAGTATGAAGCAACACACAAGATTCTGACCACAGAAGAAGATACTTCCTTGGACGTGCTGACTAGTTCTTTTCATTGGCAAATTTTAAATACAAGGCTAGAAATCAATCTTGTAACTGTAAGCACTTTGTGTACTAGAGGTCCATAAGCTGCACAAATGAATCTAGAGGAAAAAGCTGCCAGCTGCCACTATTCTAAAGACAGCATTATTTATGCCAGGAACTTGACCTTCCAATGCAGATCTGAAGTTTTTCCCCTAGAAAGAGGCAGGACAGCATTATTCAACATAGGTTTCTTCATCAGGATATTCTACTCTACAATGGCTCTGCAAAGAATATAAGGTTCAGTTCTGTGTTCTTGCAGTGTAAAGCCTCTTTAGCATCCCTATCAGTTTGACAGATCATTTTACCACTTGACATGATCTTTTACAAAAAAAAAAAAAAAGCATAAAAGCAATAAAATTGTCTGAGGGGCCAGTTTTTGTTTTGAACTGACATGTCAGACCTACAGCACCACAGGAAATATGTCAGAGCATAGATATCTCTGTTGTTGGTATCACTTTCAAATCAACATTCTCTACACCTATACACTGAAATATCTCCTCAAGAAGGTCTGGTTTTGTAGACTGAGATATGCTCATCTGTGTGTATACACACACAACTTACATATGCCTACACCATCAGCAGGACAGGTGAATATTTCTATACTATTTAATAGTTCTTAGATTGGGCCTACAAGTAATAACAGAAGTCAAAAAACAACAAAAGAAATTTCAGAGTGTTAAGTAACTGTTCATGCTGCACATAAAACATATTTAAGAGATTTAACTAAAACATCAAAAATGTTCAAAAGGACTACCCGTGTATCTAGAACTTTGACTTTCAAAAGACAGTTTGCTATTTTCAAAGACAAATGTAGTATGAAAGCGCAGCCATTTCTGGAACAGAGACTTACAAAACCTAGCAGGTGTGCAGAAGCCTGTGCTACATCACAGGAATAACAAGCCTTAACCAAAATGGCAAAGTAAACTATGCCTTTTACAGCAAAAACTAAAGGACCTTTAACATCCCTTCAGAATCAGGGTCAACAAGAGCTCATTTAAGATATACACAGTTACCTGCACAAAATCTAGCACCAGCATCTGGATTTCAGCCTATCTTTCTAGGGAGAGAGATTTCATAGAATCACCGAATACCCTGAGTTGGAAGGGACCCACAAGGATCATCATAGTCTAACTCCCAGCCCTGCACAAGACCATCCCAAGAATCACATCGTATGCCTGAGAGTGTTGTCCAAATGCTTCTTGAACTCTGTCAGGCTTGGTGCTGTGACCACTTCCCTGGGGAGCCTGTTCCAGTGTCCAACTACCACCTGGGTGAAGAATCTTTTCCTAATAGCTAACCTAAATCTCCTCTGACACAGCTTCGTGCCATTCTTTTGGGTCCTGACACTGATCACTAGAGAGAAGAGATCAGTGCCTGTCTCTTTGCTTCCCCTAACAAGGAAGTTGTAGACTGCAATGAGGTCTCCCCTCAGTCGCCCTCAGGCTGAACAAGCCAAGTGACCTCAGCCATGTCTCATATGGCTTCCCTTCAAGACCTTCACCATCTTCATTGCCCTCTTTTGGACACTAAGAGCTTTCCTATATTGTGGTGCCCCAAACTGCACACAATATTCAAGGTGAGGCTGCCCTAGTGCAGAGCAGAGCAGGACAATCCCCTCCCTCAACTGGCTGGCAGTGCTTTGCCTGATGCCCCCCAGGACACGGTTGGCCCTCCTGGCTGCCAGGGCACTGCTGACTCATGTTCAACTAGCCATCGACCAGGGCCTCCAGGTCCCTTTCCATGGCGCTGCTCTCCAGTGTCTCATTACCCAGTCCATATGTACATCCAGGGTTGCCCCAGCGCAGATGCAGAATCCAGCACATGTCTGTTAAACTTCATATAGGTAGTGATTGCTCAGCCCTCTGATTTGTCCTGGGCTCTCTGGAGGACCTCTCTGCCTTTGAGAGAGCCAACAATTCCTCCCAATTTAGTATCATCAGCAAACTTACTCAGTATGCCTTCAAGTCTTGCATCCAAATGGTTTAGGAAGATGTTGACAAGAATTAGCCCTGAAATGGAGCCCTGTGGAATCCCACTAGTGACCTGGTCACCAGCTCTATGTAACCCTATTCACTGTAACCCTTTGTGCCTGACCCATGAGCCATCTGCTCACCCACCACATGATGTGTTTATCCAGCTGTGGGATGGACATTTTGTCCAGAAGGATTATTCTGTCAGAGACAGCAATGAAAGCTTTACTGAAATCCAAAAAAGATTACATCAACTCACTTCCCTTGATCAACTATGTTGGCTACCTTGTCATAAAAGGAAATTAAGTTTGACAAACAGGACTTTCCTCTCATGAAGCCCTACTGGCTGTGACCGATGACTGTGTTGTCCTTCAGGTGTTTTTCAATATCTCCAAGAATAATCTTCTCCATAATTTTACTAGTCACTGAAGTGAGACTGACAAGCCTGTAGTTTCCAGAGTCATCCTTTTTGCCCTTTTTGAGAATCAGGACAATGTTAGTCATCTTCCAGTCAAGTGGGACCCCTCCAAATTTCCAAGACCATTCAAAACTCACTGAGAGATGCCTCATGATGACATCAGTCAGCTCTTTTGAGTATTCTTGGATGAATCCCATCAGGCCCCATAGATTTGTAGGGAGCAGTAGATCCCACACAAGTTCAAGGTCGACTGGGAGTTTATTCTCACAGTCATGGTCCTCCAGCTCAGGGCACTGGGACGCCATAATCTGAAATGTGGATTTCAAATTAAATCCACATATGCAAAATGGAAGTGAGTTACTGTCACAGTAGAAGATTTATCTTCTGAATTCCCAATCTTGTGCTGTTTTCTCATGCTAGAAAGTAACTCAGTAAACCTATCACTTCAGTCATTTGACTTTGACTATACAAAACAGAGTAATTAGCAAGTATGGGTACATCTTTTCTGTATATCTCACACCTGTCCTGCAATAACAATTTTTATACACAAGTATAGCAGCCTAGTAATGATCTAGCCTGGATTATTGGGTTCTAATACCCAGACAAGCTACAACACTCACATGTGATATACACTTGCATTTCTCTTACAAATTGGCAAGAGCAGCCACCAGATCTGCCATTCTGCACTCACTAGGTTGCCGCTACACGGATCAGGAGTCTCCCTTCAACTGTTCCCTTAATGTCTAATAGGACTCAGATTTGGGGTTTCTGTTTTGTGGTTGTTGTGTTTTGGAGATTCTAGTTGTTTTGTTTCATGGCAGCAGCAGCGACACTGCTCTGCACTAGGCTTCTGCAGACACATGAAGCAACACGCAATCACTGAGGTGGCAAACAGAGCCCAGTCACCTGTGCCTCCAATGGAAGAGGGAAAACCATGACAAGCAGAAGGTCTCAGAGATGGACTTTTACCAGAGACTATCTCCTGAAATGTACCAGCCTATCTAAGGAGACCCACAGAACCACAGCCTCATTTCTAATAATATACAAAAATATGTAACTTGTTGTAACCCATGTAGGCCTGCATATTCTCCAATCAATATTCTGATTATAATCAAAAGCCAGAAAGTCCCTCCACCAGTGGCAGCAGTTCCTGATCCACAGAAAAAAGATTAATTCATTACTCATCAGAATATTCAGTAAATTATATCTGAGCTCTTCTCCTAAAAAAACACTGAGAAGGTAGGTTTGACCAACGTATGTCTCACTCCTAAGGATACCTGATTGGAAAAGATTGCAGATGTAGTGTCAGAACACACATATATAAAATACTAAGAGCTGATATATACAGAACCTACCACAAAATTTCTAGGAGTCACTAATTAGCATACAAGTACTCCTTGACATATTAACAGTCAAAAGCACTGGATTAAAAAACCCCAAACTTAAAAAAAGTCAACAAAACACAAAAAAACCCTCCTACAATCAATCACCACAATGAAACAAACTCTTAGCTAATGCAATTATATAAACTGTGAAAGTTCGGTTTAATTTGCCAAGTTTTCATGGAGGTTTTTTTATAAGCTCTGATCTGCAGGGCAGGAAAACTGATACCAGTAGAAAGAAGCTTCACCTTCTTCCTTGGAGGGAAGCCTGGCTAAAATATGCAACATCAGTGTCCCTGGACCCTAGTGTTTTAAATACAAATAAATACACTTCTAAATAATGTTGCAAAGGGATTCATTGGTGTACTGCTTTTAAAATTGGTTTAATAGGAATTCGATACTCGGTACAAAAGAAAGACCCTACACAGCCAAGATAGGGCGGTTTTGTGCAAGCACACTGCTGCCCTCTCCTGGGGCGAATCCGACCCACTCCGGTCCTTACACCGCACAGCAGATCCTGAAGGAAGCTGCGTCTCCAAGACCATCAGGACTACTCTGGGGGCTAGAGATTTAAAATAAACAAAGTAAAAAACCAGAAAAGTGAAATACACACAGATACAGAATAAACACAGCAAGCTATTGATCATTATACAAACTGTGATAATTCATCACCTTAAATCCTTAAATTCTACAGCAGTTCGTTCCTTCATTTAGATTGAAAAAAGATTTCCCAATAGCCACTGAAAGAGTTGTCAAGCATTGGTTCTGACTGCCCAGGGAAGCGGTGGAGTCACCTTTTCTCAAGGTATGTAAGACTCTGTAGATGTGGCACTTAGGGATATGGTTAGACTTAGATTATCGTTATCGTTTGGTTAATGGTTGGACTTGATCATCTTAAAGGTCTTTTCCAGTCTAAATGATTCTATGACCTAATGCAGGAGAGCCCAAAAGTGATTTTCAGCATCAACAGCAGAGCCTGTGGGACAGCAGAATATTCTAAGAACTAAGATAAAATGGCAAACAGGAACTTTCACATTCATAAGCACCAAAGAGTTTCGATACTATTACTGCAGAGTAATGCAGAGTAACCATACAAAGTTACACAGGCTCTTAAATTGCTTTGATTTCAGTGGCATTAGAACAAAGATAAATTTTACTGTTAGTCAAAATCCTGCTTTTGATTACCCTGCATAAACCCAGGGTAATTCATGGGCCTAGGTACACTTCCCATTTACCAAAGGTTAATGAGTTGCCTTATGTAAGCCGAGCTTTAACTGGCAGAATGCAGGTTTAATCCCCAGCAAGCATGAGATAAAATACGCAGCCTAAGCTTCAGCAAAAGAAGAGTTAAGACAAATTGATTTTAATTTTGAGATGCAACTGCTAAGAATGAACACAGGCTCAGGTACTGCAGTTTAGCTGAAAGGCAATTTACTAAACTGCGGTAATCCTAAACCTACGTTCAAATCACAAAGTCTAATGTTATTGACAAAGTTAGGTCTTTACAGAATGTTTTAAAGCAATTCACAATTGTATTTTAAACTTAACTAATCACCTAAATAAATACAGTCTGAACATATGCATTTAATGGACTACAGAAGTATAAAACCAGTCCCTCAAATCACAGAAGCAGAAAACCAGCTAAGGTAAACAGAGGAGACGATGGCAGAGTGCATTCCGCAGGGCAGGTGGCCTGGAGCTGTTCACGAACCACCTTGAGATGAGCAGCATTCCACTGCTACCAGGCCAAGCATAGCCAATTCCACAAACCCAGACTGAAAACAACTGATTGTATAGCAGTTCTCAAACTGAAAGTCACCCATCCCTTTTGGGCATAAGTTTCATGAAAGTTAGCATTGCTGTGCAGCAGTAGGACATCCTACAACTCCAACATGAGCACAGCCTGCAAAACACACTCAGCATTAGGAAGGCCTCAGCTGAGTAGCAGTATATCCAGTTCTGAGGAACACACTTCAAGAAAAGATGTGTTCTCCATGGAAAGGGTCCAAAAAGGAAGGAAGAATCAAAGCTAAAAGTTGTCATCTATAATATCCTAGTGAATTAGCATTCTTTAGCCACTCTTTAATCTAGAGGACAAGATTCAAAAGGAGACAGCATTTTCACATTTTCAAATATGGAATACAGTTGCAGAGAGCAAGGTAAAAAATTGTTTTCTATATCCACAGAAGGTAGAAGGAATAGCAGTAATGGTTTTAAATTGCAGCAATAAGGCATTCAGGTAACACATAAGGAAACCTTTCAGTGAGAGATAAAACAATAAGAATAAACCAAACAAAAAGGTTTTAAGAAGAGGTTAGACAAACAATTGTTAAAGAACAACGTAGGTGTAAATGTGTGTATTTTATTTGTACATTTTATTTAAATGCATACGTGGGAAACCAGTTATCTCTGAAATATCTTCCAGTCTATTCTTTATGACTTTTCATAGTAAATATCTGCAATAGAAGTGATAAAACAAATTATTTAATATACTTCTTCTCTGATAACTATTTCAGTGGCATGAATCACACAGCTTAGAAGCAGCATATTGGTCACAGAACCTGGAATGTTGCTCACTGGCACCAGAAATTAAAAAGATGAAACAAAGCCAATGAACAAAGCAGAGAATTAGATTACTGCAAAGCGTTAGACATTCTGGATTATTATCCACAAGCCAGCAAACACCAGGAAAAAAACATTCCCTGGAACCCTGTCCACAGGTGTCTCAGTAGGAAATTTACATACAAATCATCAAGTACCAATACCATATCAATCATCATTTTGAATCCAGTCTTCACCAGTGACAGTATTAACAACTTAACAGTTCACAAAAACTGTAATGCAGCTCCTGATGCAGCTTTCTATAGGCACTTTTACTCTTCCCCTGTTACTGTATTAAAATTCAAAATTATCTTGCAGAAGCTAAAGATCAGTATCACTAAACCACTATGAGAAACAGACCTAATCAACAAAATATGCCTTAGAATTAGACCATACTGGTGGTCTGCCTCGTAAAGACAAAGAAATAGAGTTCACAAACTGTCTATGAAAGCTACAGGTGATTTGTGCAGTTGTTGATATCTTTAAATTATTCCTTTCCTGGGCTATTTTAACTCTAAGCATTTTGAACTGTAAACATAGACCATGAGAGTGAGAAACAGAAAATACTATCTCCCAAAAACTACTCTCCTGCCAAGTGACAACAGCAAACTAGTGTAAAGTCTAAACATCCAAAGGAACAAAAATCTATTGCCTTTTTTCCAGTACTGGCATTTTCTTATTTAAGTTATTAAAGTGACCAAAAAAACCCTATCTTTTTGGAAGCAAAAAGGCTAAACTCGTTTCTCCACAATTTTTTTGTTAACTATAGCTCAGATTTTGTTTTAACCTTAATCATCCATTAAATGAACAAACATTTTTACCATACTGGTTTTAATTTTTTCATCTCCAACCTGCTGCATAAACAGGAAGGGGAGGGGGAAGGCCACTGTACAAAAACAGCTTAAGGGCACCTTTAATCAATGATTAAGAAGAGAAGGGGTTTACTACGCTGACTACAAAGAGAGGGTGGTTACCACTACACTCTTTGTTGCTTCTGATTGCTGCAGCCCCCATTTTTCCCTCCCATCTTGTCCATTCGCTGCACACCCCCCAAAGCTGCCCCAGCACTCGTGTCTCAATACCACCCATCCAGCTGTTTGCTGCCCAGCAGTAGAAGGCTAAAAAAAAAAAAAAAAGAAAAAAGAATTAATTATCAAGAGGCCTCAGCCAGGAAGGTCACTTCAGAGAGAGAGCACCTCTCTTCTTCTAAATTCTTGACAGCTGCCCAGAGCCAAAGGACGGCTTTTAGGCACCCAGAGAGAAAGAAGCAGCGGTACCCTTTCGGTGCTCGCACCACTCAAAGCACGCCACCCCCAGCCACCTCCAGGCTTCCTCTTCTCTGCCCTACATTGCTTCCCTACCGTGCTAAGCGACCCTTTTTTGCCCAAAAACTCCATCCCCGCACTCCACGAACCCCCACGCGCAGCCTCCTCATCCCGCAGCCGCCTCCCAGCACCCGGCACAGCCCGGGGTCCGGCCCCGCCCCCCCCGCACGGCGCACGCGCCGGCCTGACCTCCTGCGGTTGGGCGAGGGAGCTGTCCGTCAATCGGCCGCCGCGGCCGCGGGCCACTGAGGTGCGCCGTAGGGGCGGGGGCGGGGCGCTGGCGGCAGGGCGGGCGGGGCGCGGGGCGGGGCCGGCGCGGTGCGGGACGGGCGGGCGGCCCCGGGGACGCGGTGGGGACGCGCGGCCGTCGCTGCCGTCATTGTCGTCACTGTCGTCACTGTCGTCACTGTCCTTCTGCCGCCGGGGTGTTTGGCCTCACCGACGCGAGGAGAGCCGCGGAGCTAGTCTCGGATCAGCGGAGAAGCCGACAGGCGCAGGGGAGCGCCCGTGGTGCGGGCTGTCGGCGGGCCTGGTCGTTACGGGATATAAGTGGTTGAAAAGAGGTCGCCTTAGGAGACCTGCCTTGTGTGTTGGAGCGTTCCAGGCGAACAGAGGTGCAGCATGTGCGTATATTTGCTTTATAAGCGGAAATGAGGAGGCATTACGGGCGAGGCAAGGAAAAGCGTGGATGGAGCGGTCCCAAGCACGGCCCCCGCCGGCACAGGAGATCCGGTCACGGCAACCGCGCCGGAAGGCGAGTACCCGCACCGTGGGCTGGCAGGGGTTCGGCCATGGCGTGTCATGCCTAATTAAATTTGCAGAATGGTGACTTTCTGGGACTGCGAGGGTATATCTGAGAGCTATATCTGCCATCCCTAGCGAGAGTGGAATTGCACTGATTTCTGGAAGTTTACTGTATATTTACAACTGTACATTGATTTTAAGCTGAGATGTGGTTGTGTGAGCTAGTCCTTTCAGGTGTGCATGATCGTCCCTAAACTCTTCACCAATATGCAAAGATAGTTCAGGGAAGAAAAATGTAAGTGCTTCATTCTAACTGCCCGTTTATTTTGTCCCTTGGTGTCTGCTGGTGTAAAAACTGTCATTAATGTTTGAAAGCATGTTAGGTAATGTGGTAATAGTACCATATCTAGCAGATCAGGAAAATTAAGCAAAGTTTCACCAGCCTTGAAAACTGATTCTTTCAGAAAAGTGTGTTTTATACTTTAGAACTTATACTTGCCTGTGTTTAAGCTGGTTTTATAGTTCTTTTTCATTCTCATATTCTTTCATTTGTGCCTCTTGCAGGACGAAAAGATGCCAATCCTTTGCTTTAATGCACTAAGTTGTTTTTTTTAATACATACTTTTAGAGAAAGAGACACACATATATGAGTTGCCACATTAGTTTCACTTGTATAAGAAAGGTTAGAAACACAAATGGGCCCTCGTTCAGTGAGTATAGAAATAAAAGGATTTTCTTAAAGAGCTTTAAAGTTAAGTGCTAGGGTTTGATCTAGGGTGGTTTTGCCCTTGTATATCTGTTGTGTTCTTTAACTATTTTCAAAGCTGTATAATCAAACAGCAGTAGAGCTGGTATTAGAACTAGAATTTCTTTATTGTTTTGTTTTCAGTAAGTTAAAACTCTTGCAAAACACCTTCACCTACTGTATTTAAGATGATATGTAATAAGACCTGTCCTAAAAAGCGAGAATTGTACAGGTGATTCAGAAAACATCCCAGTGGAATTTTGCTCATCAGTACTGAATGTGCTTATTTATATTTTTTCAAAAAGAGGAAAGCTGCAGTTACCTCATCTACTGCAATGTTTATTAGAAAAGCAGAGGCTTTTCATTCTTGGAGTTTTCATTAAACTTTTGTTTATTTGGAATGTTTCTGAACCTCATCAGTGAAATTCTTGTTATGAAGAGAATGGCAAAATATTTTTGATGTGACATCAGTGTTTTACCCATGCTGTGTCTCAGTTTATGCTGAGAAGACTTGCAGGCTTTCAGGAGTGGGCTGTTCATTTAATGTAAAATTGCCCAGTTAATCTTTTGCCAGAAAGAGTTAAAGGTGCTTGCAGAATCAGCAGCCCCCTCTAATGTTTTAGCAAGTAGTTTAAGGCTTTTAGGATGCCTTTATCTCTAATGTTCTTGAGAGGTTTTTAAGCTGCATATTTTCCTTGTTTGATTTTCATAGTTTAATGTATGGTGACATGCAGCATGTGCTTATCACAGCACTGCAAAACAGTACTCCATTAATGTCAATAATAATCTGCTTTCTAGATTCTTTGTGGGAAATGTGTAGGACAATTGTGAGTCTGTCTTGAAGGCAATGCTATTTTTTTTAGTCTGGAACAGGAGGAACCACAGACCCCAGTGAATGCAGGTCCCAGCAGCAGTGGAGATCCTTCTTCATCCAGTTCAACACAGAACTCTGTAGTACCAGGTAAGAGATGGTGTTTACAGGTAAAAAGTCAGTTTCTATATGCTGATTGAAGGAAAAAAGTAGTAGTAGCTGCATTAATAGTCTGGTGTTACAGGAAAGTAACATCAGGTGATATAAAAAGATATAGTGAGTGAGGATCTGGAGAACAGGCCCAAATCACTTTCAGGCCCAGAAGTGCTTCTCGTGTTTAAAAATTTGTGTGCTTAGCCAAGCTGATATAAGCTGAAAAAAGAGAAATTTGTTTCTCCCTCCAGAAATGCTGCTTTGGGAAGAAAATTAACTACTAAGGAAGCAAATAAAATAAGAAAGCATATAAGAAATTACTACTTGTATCCAGTTATTCAGTCTTTTGAAAGGCACAATGATCCACCACTTTGGAGAATCATCTCTCTTTATGCCTTCAGTGTATTTTGTAGTCTGTAAGAAATACACTCTGGCTAAATATTTGTTCATTAACAACAAATGATGAAGTATCAGTGCTGTTGAGGAAGATGTCCGTCCCATTTATGTTCTGGTTTCCTGACTCATTAAACAGAGCTAGCAAAAGCTAAGCCTGTGGAAACATATATTTCTCTGCAACAGGAGAGTCCTGAAACACCACTGATTCTTAACAACAGACAAAACCAGAGGGTTTTTGGTATATCAATGTTTTATGTTGTGTTAGGAGATGTATCCTGCAAGACATTTATTGCTGTGTAATTAGATTCTGTGTACTAAATGTGGTGTGCTTTTATTACCTTTACCGATTCATTGACTAACTTTTTATTTTTCCTGACCTGAATAAGTTTTGGTGACTGAACCTAAAAGATGGGGACAAGGATTTGAATTGTAAGCAGCATCAAAAAGAGATTACTTAAAATGAAAATTCTGGTAGTAGATAAAGTTTTAAATAAAAACTCTTGAAATGAAATGTAACAGTTGCCTCTTCTGAATAAAATCCTTTGTCTTGAGACAATGTACCATTATGAATCTGTCAAAGTATTTTATCTGTCTGCCTCTGAATTCACCCAGACAATGAAGCACTAAAGTTGAAGGTTTCTCATCCCAATTTATCCTTGGATAGGGAGCCAAATGTACTCTTGATTATATCTAAATCTCTCCTATGTGTTGAAGAAAAAGTATCTTGTTCTGGGAAGTGAATCACTTTATTTTGGTTTGTGTGATACCTCATTGTCAATTTTTTTGCTGCTGTTTGGGACTGTCCTACCTAGTTTTTTAACTAAGAATGTCCCCTCATGATTGATTTATGAAGAAAGATCATTTTTGTTCTGCAGCAAAACCTTTCTTCTTTTGCTCTTCTGATCTGTCTGAATTTCCTCTTGGTCAGTGGTGTACCTGTGTAATGGCACTGCATTTGAAAAGCTATAATCTTTTTTTCTCCTGTAAGTGGCTCATCTATTCCTAATCTGTGTATCATACTTGGGACCCATTGGGAACAAGAGCTTTGGGTTTTGTGACTGACATTCACATGAGGACTTGCAATATCAAAGAGCCATAAACAAACTTAGTTGTCTATGTGATTTTGTCACTTTTTCTCCCCCTACCCCCCAAGAACTGCCAGGATTTTATTATGACTCAGAAAAGAACCGCTATTTTCGCCTACTGCCTGGACATAATAACTACAACCCACTCACCAAGGAGAGCATTCAGTACAAGGCGATGGAATGCAAAAGACTGAGACTCTTAGAAGAGGAAGAAAAACAAAAGAAGGTATGTTCTGAAAAAGATTGCAATTAGGCTTTATTGTATAAGCCCAGGACAGCTTATAAACTAAAGCCTTTCAATTCTGACACAGTTTTTGGCTAAGAATATATAGTCCTTGAAGCCTTTTATTTGACTGTTCCACACAGGAATGAAATCAAGTCATTACAAACAAAAAACCTGTAAAAAGACAGGAACTGTGCTCAAAATTGCAGTTGTCCAACAGTTACACCTGAGTCAGAACACTGGATGCCAGGTTTCAGTATGCTGTCATTTGGAATAAGTGAGCAGTGTTCTTTTCCCGAGGCAATGAAGTGCTCCAACCAGCTATTCAGCTCTTTAGTGTCCACTGTGAAGAACATTTTGACTCTCAAGTGCTTGCTTTGTCTGAGCATTATAAAAAAGATTTCTTACTCTATAATTCTGCAAAGTGCTCTATCCTTTGGTCTCCTCAGAAAGTGTTTGCATGAAATTTTAAAAAATTATGAATCATAGAATGGCTTGGGTTGGAAGGGACCCTAAAGATTATCTAGTTCCAACCCCCCTGCTGTGGAGGAGAATAGAAATGGAATGGAAAATCAGTTCAGTGCAACAGTAAGACTGCGTGCTTAGTAGCAATCTTGTTGCGATAGAATATCTTGCTGTATAATAAGAATTTAAGGTGTTATAGCGAAGCCAGAAGGTGACTTCACACCTCCAGGTGGTACTGCTGATTATGTAGAGTGAAAACAATGGCTGTTGGTTTTGGGTATTTTTTTTCTTCAGCTTTTATATTTATAGAAGCACCCTACATCTCACAGGAATATATTCTTGTCTGCTTACTGTAGTAGACCATGGAGATGGTGCTGGAAAGTGTTTTATAGATGTTCTGAAAATTTTAATTTATGTAGGCTAAAGGAAAAAGTTACCTACATATCCCAAACATCTAAGACCCACAGCCATGTTTGAATCATAAGCAAGCAAATAACTGAGGAGGCTTCCATGTTATTCTCTTCC